GGCGGAATCAGTTGGTACATCGCTTGTAACCCCTTCATACTTTCACAATCTTCAACACCAAAGATTATATGTTTCGAATAAGCGCCGCGTAAAAATTTTCTAAGTTTTGAGTTGACTGTACCCACATATTCCAATCACCGCACCCCTCAACAACAACCTGGTGCGTATTCAAAACACTATCTCTGGAGTTAAAGATTGTGAAAGTATGATGGGGTTACATCCTGATATTCCACCTGATTCCGATCCACAGAGCTTTCAAACTGAAAGCTATCGCACATTTTTTTTCGAAACAAAACCTGTACATCAAATTGAGCCAAATATTCAATTTACCTACATGTCACAGTATTACCTACGTTAATGTTAGGATAACGTTGGTCGAGTCATAATACTGGTTTCAAGATATCGTACATGTCGTTCGAAAATTATTACATTTTGCCTTATTACAATACATGCGTTAGAAAAGTTATTACGTTTTGCGTTGAAAAGTTATTACATTTTGCGTTTTCTTTTTTATTACATTTTGCGTCAATGTTATTACATTTTGCGGCGATTCTTATTACATTTTGCGTTGATATTACATTCTGTGGCGATTATTACATTTTGCGGCGTAACAACGAGCTCCGCTTTTAAGTTTGGCTTGATCTATATATTACTACTAAACTGTTTTCTAGGTACTTTTCAGGGGTTCTAGGTATGTTTTTAAAAACTGTGAAAATGGGAAACACCTCGACAGGAGTCTATTGGCTTGGCATACAGTAGTAGCCCTTCATTACGGTTTCTGTTGCATTTATGTTGTTTGCCTTAGATATTGACGAATGCGAGGAAGAAACTTATTCCTGTCCGAAGTTTTCAAGGTGTAAAAACAAGAATGGTGGTTATGATTGCCCGTGCAAAGATGGATTTGAAAAGACCGCGCAAGGAACATGTTCAGGTAACACATTATACTTCATTTTACTTTGCTTGAACCTAAGTTAAACTAAGCGTTTAGAAAGAACAATAGTTGTAGTGGCGGCGGCCGGCTGGATGGTGTGATGACCAACTGTCTGTTTTATTCTGCTTCAGCAAATAACATGCCAAATGCAATTCACTTTAATGTGAACTCATTTTCAAACGGAGGCGCGGTTGTCGTAATCTAGTTTAAAATTTCAAATACTAATCAGATGGTCTTGGCATAGCTTGTAAAGAGGTTGATTGGGTCCAGCTTGAGATGAGAAGAAAATTTAAAGGTTATGAAAACCTCGTTGCATCACTCGATACTATACATAAATTCGCACAGTCAAACCTCTACCTGCTCAATTTCTCTCGACTAATGTGTCAATACCGTCCGTTGCTAGCGTCTGTGCATTTTCTGTGAGGAGGAAATTAAAATGATGGGCTAAATAAATTATATTCTCTATTCTCTCTAGAAATTTGCACTCCGGAGTGTGATGAGAACTCTTATTGTGAAAACGGAAAGTGCCTGTGCAGAAGAGGATTCTCTCTGGGGTTGGACTATACGTGTCAACCAAGTGAAGGTGAGACAAGCACAGATAGGAGAGTTGCTATGAGGGGTCTGTTGCAAAAATTAGCAGTAAAAATAGTCGAATGTTATCGAAACAGTGAATGCCAAAATAGGATGAAGTATTAGAAAATTAATTATGAGCTCGAGATTTCTATCGCGCGATCGAAATCGAGAGCGAATAATCTAATTTTTTTAGTATAAATCTACTAGTCGTTCAAAACTTAATTAATCTAAATCCTTTTCACAGACACTTCAAAAACGCCAAGAGGGGGCCGTCATTTTGTTAACAAAAGCACACTGCTACGCTATTCACTATCACAGGATAGATAGTGAGCAGCATAGCCAATCAGAGAACGGCATTCGTGATAGCATGCTAGTAGATTTATACTAAAATAGAATAGATATATATTGAGTTTATTAATTGTTTGCTCATGTACAGGATAACTGAGCAGATGACAGCTAGATAGGCTCACTTATCTTAGAGTTATTTTCTGTGTTTTATATATTTATTGGATTATACAACGCGTAACTGTTATAATTACATCATTGCAGGTCTCCTAAGATCAGGAATATCGCTCCATTCTCCAGCTATACTCCTCACGGCTGCACTGCTGTGGTGCGTGGCCTTGATATAACATCTGACTTGTGTTTTTTAGAATGTTTTTTTACCTTTCTGTAGCTTCCTTGTCTGCATTTTCTCACTGCCAAATTTGTATTATGTACGTTTTGCAAGGAAAACGCCCCAAATAAACTGATCCATTGTTTTGCTGATGTAATTGGTGAGATAATGTTTTGATCTGATATATATTTTACTGAGCTTTTTGGGATTTGCTCTATAACCAAGCACAGATCGAAAGAAAAGAGTGTTTCAAGTCATTGAATAAAAAAGATTTTGTTTGCTTTACATAACATAACTATCACCTTCTCATTAGCTTAACAAAGGAAAGCTTTACTTATGTAAAGAGACTTAGTAAATTTTCATTTTTTACAATAACTGTCAAATTTTCGCGCGCTGATTGGCTCATTTTTATCATCAATAAGTGTACGGACGGATAAAATGTTAATTTATGCAAGCTTTCAAGTTCACTTTTCCGCTGTCAAACTGTCAACTTTTTAACCAATGAGATTTTATGGACTTTTTTAGTAGCCAATCAAAAAGCGAGAAAAGCTATATTCCCGGCATTTGACCATTTTGGGGCCTTGTTATTGTAAAAAAGAAATTGTCGTCAGTTCTTTATGCGTCTGTCCTCTTATTGGTACGGTGATAAAATTCGTCATAACATTGTCAAAGTTTACTGCGGAACCACTTGCCTGCGGCTCGTGGTTCAACGACAACTTTGACAATTTTGTGACGCAATTTATTATCAATAAGAGGACAGACGCATAAAAAACTGACGTCAATTTGTTATGTGCACGAAAAGTACGCAAACATCCATACGTTTCGAGGCTGCTGCCTCTTCATCAGTGGATAAAAAGCAACTGTAAACTGTGCGCGTGATATAACGAAAAAATTGAGTTTGAAGTTATTTGCGCCCGCTGACTAAAAAGAGCGCGAGTGTAAACATTCAAAACAACATAAAATGTTATTAGCGCGCGCAATTGTAGTCATGTCTATCTGTCATTGGTTACAAGCGAACAATACAAAGGTTTTTTGGATAAATCTTGTTTTTTCACTTGTCACTTTATTTTTACGATGCGTGCAATGTTTCCCATTTCGATGATGTGACCATCTTCTTGAGTGCCCAATTTGTTTTAACTGTCAGTCTGAACTTTGTTAAAATCCGGATAGTTTGGATTCATCAAGCTATTTTGAAACATGTTTGTCTTTGCTAGTTCCATTATCTCTCAGTGTTTTGGTGTGATAACTTATTAAAAACAAAGGAAGTTGAAATTTTTTGATTTTTTACATCATAGTCAAGACAATGATAAGCTCATTTTTAATTAAAAATCTTTATTAAAATCTGACCTCGGATATATTTCTGATGCTGAGGAAAGGGATACTGAATTTTAAATAGAGCAAAACTATAATTTATATTGTAGAATATCAAAACATGGAATGAAAGTTAAAGCAAATTCAATTCATTGATCTTCATTAATTACAAGAAGGCCTGTTAAATAAAATTGATCTCAATAAATTATAACACATCAGCGGATTTCCCAGAATCGACATTTGCTGTTGAATCTCGGCAGCAAGAGTTCGATATTGTCGTGAAATTAAAATCAGGATGTACAAAATAAAATGATTTATTCTCACTAATTTGAGCACGCTTCATTTGGTAAAATTGACAGGTCATATTACTTGAGGCTTCATTTTCGCGATTGTAGAAAATTAATTAACCTAAAAGGAGATAACATTCATTCACTTTATCAGACATTTAGACAAAATATCTACCCGCTCCCAACAATAAAATAAAAAGGCTGCTCTTTGTATGATTAGCATATGACCGTGTGTCGAGAAAATGAAAACAGCGATTCGAAAAGAGAACGTGACGAACAAGACGGCTTAAAAGGAAAGGAAAACATTTTGCGAGGCTTAAATGACAATCCATTTCCTTACCTAGAAAAAGACGGGATACAACATTTATGTTCATTTTTTTCCCAAACCGAATAGCACTTTTCAAATGTTTTTTTGTTTTTTTTTACATTTTGCCTGAGTCTACCAAGATACAACTTTCAAATTGGCTGAGGCTGTTTTTTGATCCTGATTCCTCAAGCACCTTTACATCCGGGCATCTTGAATAGACATTATGCTAAAGAAAAGCTCAAGGTGTTCAGGGCAAGAGTTAATGAAGGAGAACAGGAAATGAAAAGTACTGCAGAGGTAAGCTGTAAAAAGTCAACAAATCAAAAACTAAGCTTATTGAGCGCCCACAGGGGGTTTGACACGTAAAACAAAATGTGTTTTTTTGTTGTTGTTGTTGTATTGCTTCTTTTTTAAACTGGGAGCTGGGTTCTTGCATCTGCAATTTTACTGAGAAATTAATGAGTCATTTTAACTGAGAACTGAGAAGTCACGGAAAAAATTATAATGCATTGATGGAGATTTCAGTACACCCATCCAGACCCTCTTTCAGTTATATCATTATAGATGCTGCATATGAATATTCGCTGTATTATTGGATGCATTTAATTCACTGTATTCTTAACCCATTGAGATTGCACTTAATGTATTCTTAACCCGAAAAAAAGACGCGCTGAAAACCCATGTGCCACTTGTGACGCCATTTCATCTTCATTTTACAGGTTTTATTGATCAAGCTGGCTGGATATTGGCCAAGTTTACTTTTTTCTTGTCTATACACGCAAAAAAGAACGAGGTCAATATCCATCCATCTTGACCGACCACGCTTGGTCAATAAAGGATTTATGACATGAAACAAACAAAAAAAAAACTTTTTTTCTTGCGGGACACGGCGGGTAGCCCCGAACGAGCAAGATAGTGCCATTTTGCCCGCTTGGGTAGCCAATCACAGCGCAGGACGGCTGGACTCGGTAATCTTGCCTGGTCACGAAACTAGCCGTATAATAACATCCGATACTGTTTGCAGTCGGTCAGCTTTTTTCCAAAGAGCGCTTATCCTTAAGAACGCGAAAGCAAGACAGGCAGTCATGCCCCAATCGCTTCTCGTCTTTAAAAGCCCGCTCTCTACGCCCTTTCTGATTTTTTATTAAAAAACAAAACAAACTTCAAGCAGCACAGGCCACGGTACACGGCACGTTTTAAACCTTTGCACGGACTCTTTTATGGAGAAAATGTTCACTTTGTGCCAGGTTTATGCAGAAACCTTTCCAAGGCGCATAAATGAAATTGAAAGACCAAAGAAAGCCAAAGAAAAAGAAAGCAAAAATCTTAAGACTAAGACCAAGAGCACAAGCTAATCCTCTGTCCCCGCCCCGATCGCTTTGCTCTCCGAATTCTTCTGTTTCGCGCTCGCCGAAATTTTTTCCGTCCTCGCCGGGAGCCTGTTCGCAAGCTATATATATAAAAAACATACCAGTCCACTGGGTTTCCACATATCACACCAGCTTGCTATGCGTAATTTCCCAGTTCGTAAATTCATCCGTGTCAAAAATTAATATGGTGTATCTCGTTAACATATAAATACCACTTACAAAACTCGTTCATTTTTTTTCCAAAATTTAAGAATAGTTTCTCAAGCATGGTAACGGATTTGTGAAGAGATCCATGTTTACTAAATACACAAGATATCAAGGGCACAGCCCCAGTAACCAAAAAATTTTAATTTTTCTTTGGAAAGACAATTTTTTTTAAAGAAAGGCGCACTATTCAATAAACTTGTAACTGAAAACCCATTGGTGCCAGTTCTTTCTCAACACGCGATCCTAACAGGAAATGCGCGCTGTGATTGGTTAGATTGACGTAAATAATTCATTAATTATGACGTAAAGCATGTAAGTTAATTTCGCACATTTTTCGGTACGGTAATGGCAATACTTTCGTGGACTGTGTGAAAGGGTTTACGGATTCAAAATTTCTCTAAAAATGGAACCTACTACAAGACAGATTCTCATTTGCGTGGTGATCAGTTTCCTCATTGCTGAACTTCACTGCTCTGTTTTGGAAAATCGTAAGTTTTGTAAACATATATGGATCTCAGGTGTACCTAGTGTTTACTAGAGACTTTGGGAGTTTTCCCAGACGAGGTTTTGTCTTTGTTGTTGTTGACGCAGCCAAAATACTACTAAGAAACTTTTCTTACACCGATCTGTTTTTCTTTTTTAATACTAATTTTTCGGTGGCTTCTCCACCTTGAATCCATGATAGCTACCAATGTAAACAAGTTCGTTACTGCTCGCGTACAAGCCCGTGTGCTGTCGTTTTTAAGGACACAAAATGTTCCCTCGAACAGATTTTGTAAAAGCTTACCATAAAACAGGGTAAAGATCAACTTTTGCCAAAAAGCCCCAAAAATAGGGGGGT